TGCCTACAAGAAGAATTGTAATAACAACAATTTAAAATCAGGGCAGGTCATTACGGGTAGGGGCACCCAAAGTATACCTGGGATAAGGTTCTCGAAGAAAAAGAACGTTGGCATCCTGGTCAAAACGCTAGTGGAACCAACAGAAGATCCCACTCGGAATTCTCAATCATGGTAAACGACATAAAGTGACGGGTGATTGGCAACTTCAAGACCGAGCATGGCCATTTCTTCTCTTTACAGACTGTAGTAAGATGCTTGCCTGTTAGAATTCTTCTACTTCATTAACGACGCGTAGGCCCTTGTACGAATTGTAGATGCAGAAGAAAACCTGCGCTGGGTGTGCGCTTGATTAGGTTCGAGAGATTCGAGGTATGATTAATCGTATCCTGTGAGATCATATACTGCCAGGGGGAGGTAAGAAAACTAATGGCCTTTATCCTCAGTGATGAAAAGACTTAGGCAATTAAACCTAAGCTTAGGGGGCTCTCTTCTAAGTCTATTTTAGCATCCTCCTCTAAAGTCTTATATAATTTCTTGCTCCCTGGGGACTGTCTAAGAGTCCCTAATAATGAAGGTTTTCTGTTTTCAAGAGATAGTCAGCTTCGGTACTCAAGCATCCTTGTCTTGAAAATCCCAGGGCCCATTCATCGAAGGCGGAGCAGGCACTCCTGAAATCTGGGGACAGAAGAGGTGTGGCTGTAACATATTCGTTCGTGTACGTACGGAAAGCTGTAAATCAATCGCCATTTTTAGGTGGCCATTGAAGTTTGGTTGATGGACGAATATTTCCGGAAGACCCTACCACAATGGAGCTCAGAGCTTTGCTGTTTTGAACCAGGTGCATCGTTGTGTCTCCATAACCATGAATATTCATGTTCTGCAGCCGCACCGAACGATGGACGGACTGGCGGAATGGGCGTTCTAACTGCATCCTAACATAGATTTGCCCGACAGTAGCCAAGTGATTAGTTTGTGAAACAACCCGAAGCTCTCTCTTTGAAGCGAAAGTATGCATGGAGCCGACTGGATACCGTGCGAACGGGATGGGCACTTTGGCAAGAGAACGACTTTGTAATGTAGTGCGAGTAACGACATTTTCAATCTCAGTGTTGCCTATCCTGCATTTTGTGTTCGCTTATGATCAAGCTTGTACCCTGGTTCGGCTACTGACAGAGCACTGAACCGTACGGAGTACCTATATGTGATCGCAATAGTACTATGATCAGCGAGATTCCGTTGTATTATGAGATGTTAGCTCGTTCTCTGGTTCCCCATGCTGCGCTATGGGCAAGTCAAGACTCAAAACTTGTCTCAGCAATATCTTTCAGAGGCTGCAGTTGATCAATGCAATTTTGATGATAATGCTGTGCAATCCCAACCTGACTCAGTCTGATCAGCTTTCCTTGCGAATAAGAGGCCTATCTCAGAAGAAATGAGACAACAAGAAAAGCCTCTATGTTAGCAAGGTGACCTCTTCGTCTTACCCCGTTTGACACTGGAAGGAAAAGCGGCAGTGTGAGAATCGTGTGGTATTCGGCAAATTAGAACTGCTGTTCCTAGGCTTTAGGACCTTGGCACCAACGGTAATTGCAGTACCCCACGTCAGGCAATAAATGTGGACGTCGAAGACATTCTTTAGAAATCTCGGGGCTTTAGATATGAAAGTCCCTAGCCTGACCTTTTGTTGGAGCTAGAGACGGAAGATTGAGGCTCATAATACGGCCCGTGTTTCTATGCCGCAGAAAGAAGTGTCGTTTCAGTGATTGCTGGAGTCGTCATCATACTGTTGAGCAAGTATTAATCACATCGGGAGCAGCGTCAATCCATGGCGGATGTGTAAAAGCTCAGGCCCAGTCGAAGGATGAAACGTCTAGATCCGGGCTCACAAGGCCCACCATGATCCCTGATCCTGGACAGCACTACTACCCGTTGGCGGGCACCTGGCGTCGCATGAAATAAGGTACATGAGGCGCCGAGAAGGCATGCTGTCGGGTTGTTTGATGTTCTTCAGGAGCAGATGACAACTAGTCTGAGGTAAGGCAGGAGGAGTCTACCGGTATCGATACCTTATCTAAGAAATAACTCTAAGGTAGGTATGAGCAGGGAGAGTTACAATTCCTGTCCATCTAGGGATGCCCGTACCTACCTACCTGTAAAGTTGGTAGGGAAAGGTCAGTACCTTACCAAGGTCATCAATTACCTTACCTTACCTAGGTACCTAGTACCTTAAGCCTACAACAGGTACCTACCTCAGTACCCTGCCCCCCTCAGGTTTGATGAGTGCTCAAGGCAGGTGCGGAGTAAAAAGCAAGTGCATTCGGATTGATGTCTGTCAGAATCCAAAACATGTTGCCTGCCAAACTTAGATTGTCAGGATCGAGGCAGGAACGGCCCAATGATTGGCAATGCGTCTTTCTAGGCTTCCCTTCCTATCGCGCCACACCACCAACGAGTCTTCAACAACAGCACTGTCGCCTCACAGTCCATCTCAAGACCAAATGGTGTGAACAACCAACGCCGAGACAACAACGCTGATATTCATCGCAGGTTCGGACCCGACTCACATGAAGCACAAAATCTACATCGCGGATCTTGCGGTCGGTAGATATATAGGTCGTCTATCGACTACAGTGGTTTGTCAACACACCCATGTTTGCTCAAGCGCATGACGGAACGGGCCCCAACAATGAAGTCGTTCCATGTAGTCTACGGATACCCACGAGTCAATGCAACCACTGCCACTCCCACATTCCTTTAGCAGCGCAGATGATCGCCTGTGACAACTAGAGGAGCGACAACACATCCCACCGGTCTTACCCGCACAATCCACAAGTCACTCAGGAGTTCATTTTTAAGGTAGCCACCAGAAATAGAATCTTCCTGAGCCTTTGACAGGATCCCCAAGGCTCAAGAGAGGCTCCGTTACCCGCGACATCACATGGCTTTACTGTTGTTTCCCTTCGAGCACCGGAGACTTCCCTATGCCTGTAACATTTGTCATGTCTGTGAGAGTCGGCCAAAGTGCCACCCCTCCCTCTCTCATCAGGCTGGCCCTACACCGCACTGCATGTATATAGTGTACGTACGCAGTAATTTCTGGATTGATCCTGTCATTCTGCTTGCACCCCTGGCCAGGACTCCAAGTGCCGTCCTAACAATAACGTTTCCATGGATTGTTTGGCGGAGTTTCTGAACTTTTGTTGCTCGTCGTCCCCACAATCTCGAATTTGGAACAGAAACTCAAGGGGGTTCAGTTCAGTCATCTGTCAGACTTGGTTGGAGAAGGTCGAAACAAGCCCAGCCACAAACTACATGACAGCCTCTAGCTGATTCTTGCCCTGCTTGCGAATGCCTCCGATGTGGCCATTTCAACCGCCTTCAACAATGTCTTAACCCTTATCTCTGATCTGGTCAGGCCAGCGATGGATGCGTCGTTTTGATACCTTGTCTCGCCTCACCTCGCTTCATACCATCACACGGTCCAGCCTTGCACGTGCCTTGTTACATTTCTCACAGGGTAGAGGACGATCATCCTTACGATCTCCCCATCATTCATCCGCCTTCTTCCTGTAACAATACCTATCAACCTTCTTGGCTAATAGTCCCTCATCTCATCTTGGCCGCTTGATATGCTTTTCCCATGAAATACCCCGGCAATCTTGGAGGGCCAGTCAGATCCTGGAGAAGATTACATGTACATACGTACATCCTACCCACAGTGTAGCATTGCACCCCTCTACACCCCTGTTAAGACTCTATTGGCTCGTTCCCGCACAAGCCGCGACAACGGTTATGCGCAACATGCACTAAAGCCGCAACGTCGACTCAGATTCAGATTTAGAAAATTCAGTAACAATTTCAGAGGAAACCTAGCCCAGCACTATACCCTTGGTTCATCCTTGTGGTTCTTTGTCACTTGCATCTTTGCTGACTGTATCAATTACATCCAGGCGAACAACAGCATCGATGCCTCAGCACCTCAACAGATATCTTGTGGATACTCTAGTCTGGCTTCGTTCTCGACACATGTCACTATCCATCGCCATAGTACAGACTTGTCAGGCCCAATTCGTTCGTCGCCAAGATGCCATAAGCAAGCTCGTGAATCAGCTCGAAAGCTTGTTTCTGCCGTCCTAGCACTCGTACGTGGTATTAAAGAGTGGGATAAGTATCTCCGATATGGAACCCTGGCCCGTGAATATGCAGCACCAGAGAGCTCAGACATGCAACGGATTGCTCGTTCAACTCTCCGCCAGACAGCATCAGATATTAACCCCACCTCTTGTTAGTCGTTGGTGTTCACTCCTGTCCTGGCGCAGGCCGGTCCATGGGTGCGTGGGCAAGCACCACACTTTTTGCTTTCTTATTCTACACCTTCCATGACAGGGAAGTCCTCGAAATGCGATGACCTTGCTCGGCCCCCTGGGCAAGGACATGGCAGTGACGGCTTCATTCGTCTGACTCCACCATAAGGCGTGTTTTGACTTACCAGCTTGGATTCATATATCCATCCCAAGCCCAGCGCCAATGTGAACTGTTAACATTCTGGATATCACTCCTTCCGATCCAAGACATATCAACTGTATCTTTCTCCAGGTTGCGGTTTATGTTCTTATCCATTCTTTTCATTCCCTAGACCACAGGTCCCAGAGTCTTTCGTTTAAATCATCGCCATCATTTCGTTTCGCCCCTAGGATACGATATCTGTTTCGTCGTCCCTTCTTTAGGATCACCTCTTCTTCGCATTCCTTCTCTTGTAATCCAGTGATACTCTGCTGCATGCTGACTCGTCGCTAAACTATCACGCCCTTGTTCGTCCTTCCGTTGCCATCTCGGAAGTGGTTTCAACATTTCTGCAGCAGGCCGACCCGTCCCTGAAAGCGCAAGACAGAAACATTGGAGGTGCACTGTGTTGGTGTACCTGTCTAGCTACACTCGTCGGTCTCACGGCCATTCTTCTCATTTAAGTTGGGCTTGTCTCCCTTCAACACATCGTCCAAATGCTTGTCACAAGGCAGTACGAAACAGAGCATAGCCGTTGGCCATTCAGCAGATACGAAGCATCTCTCACTTCTACAAGCCCTCGCATGTCTAATCCTTTCGATGTCAATGTCGAGCTGCCGGCCCCTTCGAGCTGGCAAGCGCACAATCCGACTACTTCTCATAGTGGCAGTGGACCTGCGCAGCAACATCTGTCACGGAACGAAGCCTCAAGACTTTCCCTAATGCGCCACCCGGCAGAAAATAGAGGCAATGCTCTGGGAATTCACATGAGACCCGGGGCGACTCAGATGTACTCACCCCATCTCCAGACGATAGACCGAGGTAGGATGTCGTTGCCCGGGCCCAGAGATTCGGTCCTTCAAAATGATAGCTACGGGATGAAACCCAGTACCGCAGATATGGAGGACATGATACACTCAGGGCTGATCGGCACCCCAAAAACAGCCACTAACAGTACTTTCGTGCCACCAAGTCGCCAAACAAATGACCTCTCGTCCGCTCAATCCAGTCAAGGAGCAAGAATCGACTCGCCACAGGATGAAGAGGAAGACGACCTCGATGATGACGATATGCTTGACGGGGATGGAGAGCTACCAGCCCAGACTCCAGCAGAAAGGGCGGCTGCTCGACGCAAGATGAAGCGATTCAGGTCAGTGTACGCGTTGCTCGTTCAAGGCAAAAGCTTATTGGTTTAGACTCACCCATCAGCAAACACGGTTCCTCATGAGTGAGTTTGCAAAACAGCCTCACCCAGATGCGGCACACCGTGAGCGGCTCTCACGGGAGATTCCTGGCCTCAGTTCGCGCCAGGTCCAAGTTTGGTTCCAGAACAGGTAATCATCACATTAATGGTCAACATAATTCTCGCTAACCCGTGTGGCAGACGTGCCAAAATCAAGCGTCTTAATGCTGATGATCGCGATCGTATGATAAAGATGAGAGCAGTCCCTGAGGGATTCGACAATGTCCAGGCCCTTCATTCCCCCTACGGGGCAGTCCACGGCATGAATGCTCCTGTGCCATCACCAGGACATTTCAATACACAATCGTATGCCCAACACATGATGAGACCCTTGATCGTCGACGGACGGAGGCATGATACAAGCGAACATGCTTCTCCGACCGCCATGACCCCGGGATTTGGTGGGATGGGTTACAGTCCCGCCGGCAGTCTGACAAGCTCAGGTCTTGCATCGCCGCTTTCACCAGCTCCGAGTGACCGATATTCCTATGGCGGCCACTTCACAGCCCCGCTAACAGGCAGCCCGAGAACATCGCACCCATTTGCCCAAAACCATGGGCTTGGGACTCCTGTTGAAATCCATCGATCGAGCCCCCAGCCCATCCCGCCTCCTCTGCTTCGCGACCCCCTCTGCAGGGACAGATCGGAATCCTCACAGTCGCCATTGCGACCCAATATGCTATGGAAAGGCGATGCAGTTGACTATTCCTACAGGGGGACTAACACAAGCCCGAACCTCTCAGACAGACACCCATCTATCTACCACCCTGCGCCACTCAGCAACCCCTCTGTTGCCATGAGCGGCTACGATGCAAACTCAGTTCCCGGCTCCAGGGCCCCTCCCGAGAACCAAATCCACAGAACAGAAATCTGATCGCCATCGACGGGGAGCCCTTAGCCAGTGTACTCCAACAGCCGAGCCCTAGTCTGGCAGGTCCAAGTTACCGAAGCTTCAAACAGCTTGTGGACAAATTCTAAAGGATGTTGTTACTCTATGCCTAGCCCACATGCCGTCTGGGATCCCTCACAGTGGAGTATATATTTCTTCTTCATACTGTTCGATTCGGCCTTTATTCCTTTTATTTGCAGTACCTGCTGTTCTCTGTCTAATTCTTCCGTCTCTTTGAATTCTTTTTTTTTTTTTTTTTTTTTTTTTTTTTTTTTTTTTTGGTGTGGTTTGCATTACGAAGCGCACGGGGTGCATCAGGGCGTATAATGTTTCATCTAGAATTTATGATTTGGGTACCTGGTAACGATCATGACTCTTTCTTGTGTTCAGGGAGTAAGTTACATAGCATGAAGATAAACACCTAAAGCTGGGATTTAGTGAAAAGTGGAGGGCGCAATCATCGGTGGCAATTGGCGGAATTGTTGTTCTAGTTTGGTTTCGGGCAGACTGGTTTCTGTTCTCTTAAGGTTGGTTGAGCAAGTTGATACTAAGAAGTACTCAGTATAGGCTAGGGGAGGGTAAAAAAAACTCAGGACCTTCATCCTAAATATAAAAAGACTTGGGTAACTTAGTATAAATTTAGGATATTTTTACTGAATTTATTTTGATACCATATATTAAGGTTCTGTTCTTGTTCTATGAAGGGTATTAGGTATTGTTGGTAGTCTGCTGTATCGGCGGCCCAGGTAGCATAACCATTGACAACTTGTTCTCAAGAATAAAACAAATTATAAGAGAACACTTATCTAATATTCTTATAATGATATCTGATCAATTTCCTGTTTATGCAATGAGACATCGCTCAGAACCCTATTCACTAGTAAATGTTATTTTAGAACTTATCTTTCGGTAACAAACACTAGCAAATTCAGACCAGTTGTATTCTAACTGCTAGGGCGACGCAATTACGTTCCTACCTAATAAAGAGATCCAGATAACTATTATAGGCTCACCGGGCTCTTTCGCGGCTTGTTACTGGCATCCTTTGTTGAGATCTGAGGTTTTCTTGCTTGCTCCTTGAGGGTGGTGTCAATTGCTAACAATGCCATAACGCAATAACGTACTAAAAAAAATGTCTGGTATTATAGAAAGAATTAACATCCCTTATTGATATGTAGTGATAATCTGAGATCTAGCAGATGCTAATAATTAGCCTTCCTTCAATTTCTGAACAGAACCCTGGATACTAATGCAAGCTCTTTAAAGTCAGACAAGCCAGTTTTCCTAACAGCAGCCGGACGGTTATCAGTGATGGTATGCATCGAGCTGAAAACAACAGAAAAGGCTACTAGGTTTACCAGATGTTGGGCGTCATCACGGTACCGATAGCATAAACCAGATCATTATCGGAACTTACATAGGAGTAGTTGAGGGTAAATAAATACAACAGTGATTCACACTGCGCACGATATCACGGTCAATGGACCAATCAATGAGTGTTTCTTGTTGTCTTTGAAACCAGGCAATTAATGACCCAAAAGGGTGAGGATATGTCACTTGCATCAGGTCATCATCGCATCATGGTAGCCGCACAAGGGGCCCTCGTGATGATGGTTTTAGGCAAGGTTACTGAAGTGTGCTCTCGACCACATATCCCAAGATGTTACAGCAGAGTAGGATCGAGCAAGCTGACAGTTGTTGAGGGATGGTGGTGGTCTTGTTTGTATTAAAGAAGAGGGAAAAAATTTGGCGGTTTGAACAAGATCTTATCGACGCGATTTAGTCACGTGATGTGGTTTATCCACCAGCTTCTCTTCCTACCTACCTTACCTTAGGTAGGCGACGGGCGGAGTGGAGATACAGCAGCATCATCGTCTCGAACAACACCAAAAGCCATTCAAAATGTCTAACTGTTGGTCCCCTCAACAATACCAAGCTCCAGAGAGCAGGGGAACTTCTGCCATATATATATAATCACGGTACTAATACTAAATAATTGTTTAAATACCTGCTCAGTCATATAAAAGTTCCCCAAGTCTTTAGCTCTTAGGATATCAGTTCATTAATTACTAGTTATTCCATGTTCAGTTTTGTATAAATATAATTTCTGCTTAATTAAATAGAATCTCCTTCAACTGGCTGATGAACCATGCACATGTACTCAAGTAAGAGAGCCTCAAGCTCCTTCGCTGGGCTTACGATATGTTCGCACTCATTGGCCCCGATTAAGATGGACAGTTCAATCATCTCTATGTAGTAAGGTTCTTCGGACTTGATAAGATTCTGTTCAGACACCTATTGCTGATCTATTACTATTGAGCTGCCTTGGTCCAAACTCTTACCTTCAAAGTGTTAAGTAAAGAAAGAACTGGATAGTGAAAAACTAAGAGAGAGCACAAACTTATCAGGACGGAGTTGCTTTGTTCGAACTGATATAGACTATGGTAACGAATAATCCGATAATTATTAGAACTTAAGATTGGTAACTAGGTACTACACCTAGGTAGGTATGCTCCGACACAGTTCACAGGCTGAGACGTGATTCGGTGTCACCGTCTTTGTGGAGCTGAATGCGACAGTGCAGAAGCCAAGCCAATGAATGGTTGCGATCACACGGCTGTATGTACATACGTTCTTTCCATTTGTCTTTGTTCTGGCTGCCAGGTTCAGGCCAGCCACTTAGATTAGCGGATGATGGTACCGAGAAGTGGTCAGTGAGCCGAAAGGCCACTGAAAGAGCCCTCAGCCTAGCCAGTGAACAGCAGCCTGGGAACAGCGGCCAGCCCGCCTGGCAGGTTCCTGTCTCCGCCGTTTTGCTGACGGGACTGACAACCGGCAGACCCACCCTCACCAAAATGCCTTGTCTTTCAGGCTCAAATCACCCTCTGCCTCTCCCTCATTCCAAACACTCCACACAGTCCACACCTCACCTCTCGCCCCCGACCCTGATTCAACCTCTGACATCCTAACCTAACATCGCCCTATTCGACGTCAAAACCCTCGCTCTGCGCCAGCGACATTCGCCCATTTCTCCTAAAAAATCGTCCATTCCTTTCCCTCGAACTCTGCAAAGACCACTACAAGACTGTTATCTGCTCGCGCCGCGCCGGCTCCGCTCACCGAGTCCCGAGGAAAACCCAGTGCAGTGCATGACGTTCGGCTGAAGAGAGAAGCGGAGCGCAGCGACTCTCGGTCGACGACCGGCGCGACTCTCGCCCACAAATCTCCCTCGCGGAGTCGTCCACGATGTCGTTCCATCCTCAGACTCCCCAGAGCCCATCGCAATTCTCCTCCGGGACCTCGGAGCCCGTGTTAAGCGTGACAACCTCAATGACCTCCACAGCCACGCCAACCACCTTGCCGACTCCCGCCCACAGCGTCACTGGAAGCGCCCATCACGACGTTGCAATGGCCGACGACTCCCCCCACAAGCGGAAGCGCTCTGTGGATGACAGTGGCGACCGCGAGCAGAAGAAGGTTCACACAGAGGAAAGCAAGCTGGGTATTGAAGACCTGCATCTCGATGTGGGGAAAAAATACCTTCTTTGCCAGACCCCTCATCCGGAATCATTACCACGCGTCTCGGAAGATCTTTATGACATGTTCAACCTCAGTGGGCTCGCCGCCGAAGTGGCTCGGGAGAAGCCAAACGGAGAAAAGAACGCATTACGTTCATCTTACACAGGCCATATGAAGAACTTAGGTATTGCTGGCAACTGGAAAGTGCGAGTAACAGACAAGGACTCTAACACCGAGAAACCCGACTTTTTCGACATCTTGCATATGCCCGATGAGGATTGGGATAACACGATAGTCAAGGGTCAAAACATCAAACACGGGCTATCACAAGCAAGTCTCTCCGCTCTCGGGCGAGCAGTAACCATGGCCAAGGGACCTATAGGCAAGAAGGACTGGGACACTTCAAGATTAGGACTTCAGTCACCCGGCCTGGATTCAAAGCAAACTTCGTCGGCGAGACCTACCGCCCCCAACACTCCGCTCAGCGTACCTGGTGCAGTAGGACGACTAAAGGCTCAGGGGCCCTCAGCAAACGATCCAAACCGACCAAAGCGTAACGTAAAGAAGCGAACATATGGTGACAGCAGTTTCGAGGGCTATGGTGAAGGTTACCCTGATGATGACACAGCTGTGGAAGGGGGCTATTCAACGGGTGAGGGAGAGGGCGGCCAGAAGCGACGCAAGAAGAACCCGGGAAACACCTCGCCATACCCGAGTGCTATGCGCCAGCAAAGCTACGGCCCTGGCATGGTGGGCGCATGAAATATCTTGACGGTAGATGCCCTCATGTCTCATGTTTCACGACTTGTATACACACTATGAAACGATTCCAACAGGCCATTGTTCCCTGGGTCTCGTACACGCTACACAAACAAAAAAATCTCGGTGCTACTTGCTTTGACAGCCTCCTCGGCTTTTAATCTTCAATCTTGGGTTTTCATTTTTTCTTCTTCTCTGCATTCTGAGGGGACGGACATACGACATGTGCGTCCCAACGAGCACGGCGTTTGGGCAAAGGAGAGAGGCGGCATATGGGTAAGGTTGGCCGGTCACTCGGGGGTAGGGGAGGCATGTTTCTACGTTTCTTATTTCTCTCAAAAGACGACACGGCCTAGCACGAGGGGCGCGGACACTGGGCAGTGGTGACAACAATAGTCAGGGCTTGGGCAAGATACTAGAAAGGTTAGGTATAGTTTTTGACCTGTATGCCATTTCACCTTGTACCCAATCAAGTTGTTGACGATCCCAACATCAATGGACGGATACAGCAGTGAAGTCAGGCATGCACTGCAGCAATAACGCAACAGGTATCGAATATATCACAAGGTGTGCATGATGCATAACGCCAGGAGAAGAAGAAAACAGATACATAGATTAGTTGATCATCATAGGTCATCCGTATCGGAGTATGCACTTGCTGGGCACAGGAGATGGCCCTAGGGCATGGAACTTCTACAACGAGTTGA